TCTGCTGAGAAGCCGACAGTCCTGACCGGGGTCCTATAACTGTTTTCCTCAGTAGTTTCAATCGAATGTCTTGCAGTGTGGGAGGGCAGCCACCTCAGAATATTTCAACCTTATTCAACGCTTTCTTCTGGTATCATTGGACATCATGGAGCAGCTGCAGTTGATACAGCCGTTCGATAAAACTTTCTCCTCAATCCGATGGAGGACTTCTGAAATGTTCAATGCGCGGTTCGCTCTTTTCATGGGACTTTCATACGCACTACGAAATATTGTTTCTAAAGCCGTTTCTGATAACTGCTCCGCGCTTGCAGAAATTGTTAGCGAAATATAGCTGAGTCTTTCATAACAACCTTGGTATTTAAGTCTGCCCTGAGCTAGATGAGACCATTTCACATTTTCGAATTCTATGCACCTTAAGGTAAAAGGTGAGAAAAGAGGTAAAGTTGTCGCTGTGCTTAATTAATTAAACACTACGCCATGAAAACTATTGGGACACTGGATGTATAGATCCACGTTTTCTTGACCTCGGCACTAGTTGGAGGTGAATGGCCAGCTTCACGTCCCGGCCGCTTTACCCCCGGGGAGAGAGCCCCGGTACCCATTGGACAGGAGGACCCCAGAGCCGGTCTGGACGACAAGGAGAAGAGAAAATTCTTGACTCTTCCGGGACTCTTTAACTCCGACGTCTCTGTCGTCCAGCTCGTAGTCAGTCGCTATACCGACTACGCTATCCCGGCTCCCCCAACGAAAAGTGTCTACTTCGTTGTCGTTATTTGTAGCTGAATCAAATCTCAGGCCAACGTAAAATGAACAGATGAAGAGACTGGGTATATGAATTCGAAGTTAGTATTACTGAACTGAAAATATTTCTGTAGGTACTTCGGAAGTAATGACAGTGAAGGAAGAACTTCACCGTTACGTAACATTGGATGCTAATTGGCAGAAGCGGTAACACTCCCGCTGATTATGCCAGTACACGGGCAATTCAGTTAGAGATAACCCGATTGTACAGTCCTGCCATACTCTATGCACTTACGGGGCCAGAAAAGTTGTAACATATCCTGAATAGCATTTCGCTGAGGATTTTAAACCCCAGGGAAAATGAATCCATCCTGTCACTCATATTACATTCAGGACAACAGAGGATGCATGTTAAGTACCTAGGGTCGCCCGAGGCTATACAGCGAGGAAACCGATTTAGCCTACTGAGTGAATAGCAAGGCTTGCAGCGTGATCAAATTTATGTCACGCGCTCTTGCTATAAAGTTAATTGGAGAACCCTGAAATCTATCTGCTTCTTTTACTAAAATTCTTCTACTATAGGAGCTAACGAAAATAGAAATAAACATAGGTAAAAGGTAAAGTTGTTCCTATGCTTAACTAATTAAGCACTACACCCTGAAGGCTTATGAGGGAGTGGATGTGTAGACCTACGTTTCCTTGACCTCGGCACTAGTTGGAACTGAGTGGTCAGCTTCGCGCCTCGGCCGTTTCACCTCAGGGGAAAGAGTCCCCGGGACCCATTGGATAGGAGGCTGGGTGGGCCCCAGGGCCGGTCTGCACTACATGGAGAAGTGAAAATTCTTGCCCCCCATTCGAACTCCGAACCCTCGGTCGTCCAGCCGATAGCCAGTCGCTATACCGACTGCGCTATGCCAGTGAGGACGGAAACAGATCCAGCTTTCGAAACGTTTTATTTTCTAGTTTCTGGAAAGCTGACGACAGACAATGTCCAAAAACGCAGTAATTCTGAGTATTGTGCACCACCGTCAAACCCTTTAGAATCTGCCACAAGGAAGAGATATGTCGGATTATTGGTTTGTGTTATAAGAACAGGAATGTAACTACCGATGTAAAGAAAGTTTCATGTTTGAGTCACATAGACAATGCAGATATGAATAAGGTCACGAAGATTATATTCATTTAACACCAAAGCGGAAGAGAGTCTTCAGGTTGTTCTAGGCACACCTGTTTCTACTCAGAGCGTCTTTGCCATTTTTGTGCCGCATTTACCATCCACATCTTTGCGTTCAGTTCAGGTTCAGCTACGTCAATCACATTGGATAACGGGCTTCACGGAGGCATAGAATATCTGCCCTTAGAAAGTAAAGTTATCCCTGTAACAGGCCGTGGAGTCCCATAGGTTTGTGAGGTGTTGAGGCTCCTACATTTTCTAGACAGTCGGCTCACAGATGGCGGTAAGGTTCTCAGCCTTACCTGCCGGCCTCCCTTTACCCCCAAGAATATTCCAAGAATATTCCTGGTACTCATTTCTGTTAGAGGCTGAGTCGACCTCAGGGCCATAGTGAGGCTGGAAGATTAGGTAAATTGGGAAAATCCACCTCATCTGCCTTTTCTTCTCTTTAAAAATACAGCATATTCAAGATAGTTCGCATAGAGTTTTGAGGTTTACATTAAAATGTAGCATGCCTGGGATAGATGAAAATGCATCCTAATGGAAGAGGTCACATTTGAGGCTTAGCCAGAAGTGGGAGAATAATTTGAGCTTGAATTTTAAATAAATGAGATATGATTCACGTGACCCAGGGTCTGTCGGTTTGCTCTTGTTAACACGGTAATGAACTCCGGTTTAATAAAAGCTGGGGGTTCTTAGCCAGCTGAACTACTACAAGTGTTAGCTTCTCAGGAAGCCTCGTCCTCATGGGCTTGCTTCATTAGATATATATTTAATTTTATTTCCCATTTTTTCATACCAGCAGTTTATTAGTTAATATGCTAATGAAGGTCGATTCGGAGTTTATGGCAATTTCGGGTTAGACCTATATTATTCTGATAACATACGAAATAAATAAGTCAATAAGTATTATTGTAGATATGCAAATCCGAACTTTATTGATATCCGTCGAATTGTTTCGGTGATGAAATGTACGGTTGCGAGACATTTGTTACTATGTACTTTGCCTCATTTCGTTTACTTCGTCATTGAATTTCATATAGATATTGACAAATTTAGAAAGTTACATATCTGCAGTTTATGTCCCATATATTAAACGACTTACCTGTAAATACTGATTTCCGAAATACCTACCTTAGAATAGGGCAATCTGTTTCCACGCATATGGAGCTGAATCTCTGACATTGGTGAACTCATATCGGCATCCACAGCAGGAACTAGCAGTGCTTCTGGGTGATGTAGCTATTTCGTGCTGTAGGCGATATATACCGGCCCGCAAACCGTCGATGCGTGCTTATCGACAAACTTGTGAAAATTTTTACATCAGTTTATGTGTTGTGTATGTTTCGACCTCTAGGCTGAAACTGAGCACGAGTTTATCAGCAAATATAACTTAGAGAAAAAACGCGAAACAGACCGATTTCCCTGCTATGTGAATGTACACTCTGTGTTATGGTCGCTAAATTTTTCTGTTCGTACGAAAGAAGATGAACAGTTTCGTGTAATGACGACGCTGCAGATATGTATTGGAGAATTAGTGGACTGGATTATCGCCAGGTCTCTACTTGAGACCTGTCTGTTTTTCTGGTTGTCCTTAATCTCTCCAGGATAATTTGAAACGTTTTACGGTCATATCTACCCAGCTTCGTGCTTACGTACCATTAGCAATCTTCCCATGTCTCTTCTGCATATACTCGTAAGTTACGTAGCTGAAAATTTGAAGCTAAGAAACGTACTTATCAGTTCGCTTTTTAAGAGCTTTTCCCATCTTTCTTCAATTATATTGTAGCATGTAGACCCGTTGCTAAGTAGTGACTCTGTAAAGAACGCCCGTTGCTGGGCTGCATATTCGTATGAATGTATGAGAGGTAGGCCTTCTCGGCCCTTGCACCGCGATCTACAGTGATCTATTGTGCTTAACAGTTTCATAACACGCAATAATTGACTAATTGGGAAGCGGAATTCTCTGCGCGGTCCGTGCAACTATTGTGTGAGGCAACAATAAAAGAACTGTCGGAAGCGGCGTTTCTTGTGCGATTCTTACCGAAGTGTTTTACACAGAACAAGTCTCATGCTGTAGTTAGATGTAAGAGAGTCGCCGGCCAGCAAGGGGGTGAACACTGAAGCTGAAGGATCTAAAGCGTTGAAAGCCGTTACCATACAGTGACCAGTGAAAACACAGCAGATAAGAAGACTAAGTACACGCTGTAGTGAACCAATGAGTGTGTGAATTAGCAATAGAGCTATGGTTACTTGTACAGGCCGCGCCATAGCGCAAGCGGTTAATCGCTGGCTTCCCACCGCGGCGGCCCGGTTTCGACCCCAGGTCTGGTCAAATGGGATTTGTGATGGACAAAGTGGCGGGTTTTCTCCGACTACTTCTGTTTCCCCTGCCAATCTTCTTTCCACCAAATTCTCCATCATCATAATCACCCGGAGTAGGCTACAATAGGCCAATCAGTGGCCGCCGTGCCGAGTGGACCCAGTTGGGCTCCACCCCTCACTAAGCGAATTAAAAAAAGAGGTTAATTGTAGTTACGATCTGTAAGTTCAGTAAATCCAATTAGCAATCCAAACCCCATATATAGTCACACTCTAACATATCACAATATGTTACCACAGGAAATTAATAATTGCAGTCGTGATGGAGAATCGCTTGAAATAATTGGCAAAATTTGTGATTCAATTTCGGAAGTGAAACTTGGGATTGATAATAAACATTGTCAGTTATTTATTCATCAAGTGGGACCTGGATAGCTGAGTCGGAATAGCAATAGGTGTCGGTATTGGTTTCATGGAAGGGGCAAGAGATTTATCTTTCCTCCGCAGCGTCCAGACCGGCCTACCTACATGCGTGCCTACCCACCAACCCACGTATCTACTTGCATACCTACCTACCTACCTACCNGCCTACCTACCTATCTACCCACTTACCTACCCACCCACCTACATACCTACCCACACACCCACCCACCTACCCACCTACCCACCTACTCGCCCACCTATCTATCCATCCATCCATTTATCTATCCTGCCTGCCTGTCTGTCTGTCTAATCTAATCTGATCTGATCTATATGTTCCTAGGGCTCTTCCTCAACTTAAAGCAGTAGCAGCGCGCGCCTAGTGCCGAGACGGGACTAGACAGCTTTGAAGTTTGTTTTCAAGTAAGTATATTTCTGTTCTGTTACCCAGCTTCACATTACACTTCTATACGCCTGACGAATGCGAGGCGTGCACGCTTAAATATGGATCTTGACAACCAGTAATTTATACTTAATTTCGAACGTGTTATAAAAAATAATACACATAGTGTTGTTTATTAATGCTGCTTCTCATGTTATTATGTTGTGCTGCATGACCTCTATAATTATTATAAACACAGCAATGCTACTCGGTCAGTAATTTCTGTCCAGGCTGAGTATCCAAACTTATTGCAGGCCTATGTACACCCTTACACAGGCTCACATATTAACGCAATGCACCGATCGAATATACATAATTTGAATTGCGCTCTCAAATGCCCATAAAATGTAAACCAGAACCAGCTTTGATATGACGCCGATACACACTAAAGTTGATGTACCAGAGCCACGTGGGTTTGAAGTTCCGCGCCGAAAGCACACTCGTACTTATGGGAGATCTCTACACTCACATGAAACAATTTTGTCGTTCCTGGAAAAATCTTCAGTTACTGTCTTGAACATGTAATACTTAACTACATATATAAATTCTTCTGCATCTAACTACTTAATACGTAACTCTATATATGTAGCTTTCACATTATGTTAATATTACTTAATTTATATATTATATTTAACTCTATTATCAACGCAGTGGTTTAATGTAGCACTTACTGTTTAATGGAATAATTACGTGGAAAAAAATATTGGATTCATTGAACAAAATAATATTGTGACATGTTGCGAAATCTGAGCCCCCCCCACACCANGTGTAGTGACTTAAATTTTAATTTTGTACGCTTACATTCCGAATATTTGAGCGTTCAAACAATATACTGTGGAAACATGGCACCTATTTTTTTAAAATAAATGAAAAATATGTTTCGTGGCTGTGCATTTATGTTGTTTTATCTACTTGAACACGCAGAATTTTGCAAATAAGGTGACATCAAATGATTACCGACCCTGTAAGCGGAGATCTCGGAACTTCCTTCGTCTGAGTTCAAAAACACCTTTCTAAATCCTACATACGTATTATTGAAGAAAGCAGTCTTCTGGGATTTGGCACCGTGTATATATGGTGTATGGCCTCCATNGTGTTAACCGACGTTTCGGAGTAACGTATCGCCTCCATCTTCAGGGTAGAAGAAAAAATATAAGAAATCTGCAAGCGAAGAGACCGTGAGAACCGGTAAAAGCAGACTGTGACCGGTTCTCACGGTCTCTTCGCTTGCAGATTTCTTATATTTTTTCTTTTACCCTGAAGATGGAGGCGATACGTTACTCCGAAACGTCGGTTAACACCACATATACACGGTGCCAAATCCCAGAAGACTGCTTTCTTCATAGTCACCGCCGTGAAAGCCTCAAATCCTGCAAACGTATTATTGCTGTATTAGTAATAGCAATAATAGTGTGCCTACATGAGAACCATGTATTATACCACTAAAGAAAAACGGTAAGAACAGAACCGTCTGGATTGGCCTCTACTTTTGTATGGTTCTCGAACTTGGTATCTCAGATGAGGAGGAGTGTAGGCTATATATTGAATGTGTTTGAGAGCAAGTCACGGAGGATAATATTGACGGGAGTCTGTAGAACAACGCCCAAGGAAAGCGAACAGATATTATGAGGGTCATAAAATCAAGGCGAACCACATGGGTGGGGCATGTGACATAAATGGAATCTCTGAGGAACGAATACATTTCATTTTGAGTTCCTCGTAGATAGGAGAACAGTTTGAACATTAAGGAAATAGGAGAGCCGACGTAGCTCAGTGAGTTTAGTGACTGAGTTCCAGGATGAATGACCGGGGATTCAGGATTCAGGACAAATTTGTTCTGATTTCCCCAGAATCTATACCGGCTGTGTGGTCTGGTCTCCTGTTCGGTTTTAAGTGGGGTTCTTTCTTAGGCGGTGAAAAGTCAGGGTGTATTTCCGAGATCAAGAATTCGTGAACCTGTGCCTCCACTTCCTGATACTGTGCGTCTAATTAAGCCCGATGCTAAACCTTCATACTCTGTGAATCGAGAGGCACTTCTTGCCGAGTCGAGTGGTTAATAGTTGCTCGAGGACTTGCTCAGGAACTGATACAACTATAAATGGCGAAATGCATAAAGGCTTAAAGTTAAATATACCGCAAGAGCTGTTTCAGTGCCCACAGAGCTGTCATTATTGCATACACACACACACACACACACACATATATATGAAGTTGTCATCGGAAAACATATAACCGTGAACTACCTTGTGTCATATTAATTAAAAATGGCTGCAGATTAATTGTCCATAGGCTGTGCTTCAAAATTACAATCCATTTATAAACATGTTTCAATTATTTTTATGTTTCATTACATGCAAAGGAATCTGTGTGTGTGTGTGTGTGTGTGTGTGTGTGCTATAGGCCGCTTTATCAGCATTTTGGTCTATTGATTGCTGCGAATTGCAATATATCACTTATATCTTTTTGCTATTGAGCGGAAACTCGCCTAACTTACAGGCAAGAGAAACACGCAATTCCACATTCCGGGACACAAATTCATTAATTTGCGTTTCCAGGTTACAGCGATTATTTTTTTAATTAACCCACATTGAGGCGCATACAAACAGTGAAGCCGCGCTGCTACACCATTCGCCGCTGGAAACGAATGATGAAACATCGTTTTGTTCAGTGGAAGTTTGCACTGTAAAATGATTGTAATTATCGCAGACACCAGACTCATTATCCCGACTAAAATTGAGCTCCATTATTGTCATGATGCGTACTGGTTTGTGCTAAGTGAATTGTACATTAAAAATATCATTAAAGTGACAAAATCATTGTGACTTGCACCGTGCACGTTTGAGAGGAAAAAGGCGTACAAAATTTTGGTCAGAAATCTTGAGGTTGCAAGACCACTTAGGAGACGTAAGCGTTGAAGGGAAGATAATATTAATACTGACTTAAAAATAGGTATGAAGGATTGTATTCATTTAGATTCGGATAAGGATCCATGACGGTCAATTATGGATACCGTAACGAACCATTGGTTAATATACAGCCCCTTGTTGGGCCCTGGCCTCCTCTTCAATTACGAGTATATAATCTTTTTTTTTACACAGAGGGTAGAACACCTTGGACGAGTGATGAAGCCGTCGCAAGGCCGCTGCCTACACGCAGGACAACAAAAGATAGAATAAACACACACACAAACATCCATGCCTTTGAATGGGATTCGAACCCATGATCCCAGTGCTCGAGCTATCGAAGACAGTTCATGCCTTAGACCGCACAGCCTCCGTGCTCTGCAGCAATGAAGTGTCTGATAGACTTAAAAGGATTTTGACGATGGTGTATACTGTACTTATTTTGGCTTGTTTTTGACTTCATCCATCGTCTGGTATGTAAAAGACAACGACGTTTCGGAGACTGGATCTGTCNAAGAAGTGCAGTGTATGATGTTATAAATACAGCAGAAGAGCTCCTTGGGGCTACTTTAATTATTGTTCTCTTTCTCAGTGGTTAAGCTGAAGGCTGTTATGACTGACAGACAACTTTATATTGTTATTTCTAATCCATATCCCTATGGGTTTTAATATAGAAGAAGCTTCAAGAATATCTCATTCTCTATCCTGTTAAATGGGGCTAATCATTGTTCTCCTCTATCTTCTGTTCTTCCATTTACTGAATATACATTTGGCTCAACCTGATTTAGCACACAACTTAATGCTTAGAAAAGCTGTTAATTTTGCTGCTTGAACTTTGAAAACATATTCAGTGTTGTAAGATTTGAGGTTTTCACGGCGGTGGCTATGAAGAAAGCCGTCTTCTGGGATGTGGCGTCGTGTAGATATTGTGTTAACCGACTTTTCGGAGGAACGTATCGCCTCCATCTTCAAGGTAGAAGACAAGAAGAAATCCGTTCCCCGAAACGTTGATTAACACAATTTCTACACGGCGCCACATCCCAGAAGACGGCTTTCTTCGTATTCATTGTTGTTAATCTAACTTTTCTTTTTCCATATGAGGATGTGAAAACTGCTACTGCTGTCGACTTTTAACACTTCAGGTTCAGTTGCTTTAATCTTTTCTTGTAAAATTAAAAGAATATATGATCATAGAAATATGAACAAATAAGTATAAATGATTAATCAAAATTCGTGGCGAAACGTTTTACTGGAGTGAATTTATATCAAGAAAAAAATTGTTGCGAAGAGTTACGCAATTTAAACCTATCTCAGAAAGCAAAGTTCTGACAACGCTTCACAGGCGAAACAGTCGAGTTGGAAGGAAGGACTTTGAATGCAAGAAGCACAGCCACCTCTCCTCCCTGCCTCGCTCGCTCAGCACACGGTGTCTGTCGCCTGGCTTATCGTATATGCAAATTGTCTTTTGAGTCGGTCACTTGAGACACTCACTGCAGCGGGTCTTATGACGAAGTCAGATTTCTCTCCTGTAGCTCATGTTCACCAGCGTCTCGGTGAGACCAATATCCGTTGTATACCTGAATTATTGGTTGCACTACCAGGAAACGACGGATCGTAGTCAGCACTGTTGGTGAAGGAAGGCCCTTTTTATTCGAATTTATGGCGAATACAGCCTGCTGAGGCAGTGTCTTACAACTTGGACCGTGTTTCGTTTAGACAGTGCTTAACAATCCTCCACAGGGGTGTGGCATTTTAAAAAAAGTATGCTTGAGATGCAGCATGTAGGCCAGTCCGTTTTACTCCGCAGCACAGGTGTTCGTGCATGAAGTATGACAATTGTATAACTTTTAATGATGATGGTAATAGCAAATATCTCTGTTTAAGGGTCTGTCGTTAATAAACCGTTTCCTAGACAGAACTGCGCTGTTAAAGTAAGTCTACATATTCCGGCCATTTGTAATATCCGAACTGGCCAAGATGTGGATTTTCAATATTTTCTTCAGATAATCCAGAAATATATTGCGAGAATATAATGAAATAAGCCACAATCTAATCCTTTAATATTCTTCGAATTATCG